TGCAGCCGCCAGTCCCCGTCGTCCACCACCAGCCCCCACCCCCTAAGTAATGCTTCGTGCTGGGTGGAGCCATGGGCGTTAAAGCTTAATACTGGAGCGCATGTGAATCTAACTATTTTTTTAAATGTATAAGTTTTTTCTTTTAAAAAATTAAAAATACCCAACCAAACATGTTTTATATTTTTATTTTTAAAAATATATAAATCATAATAGTATCAAACAAGTTTTTTAAAATAAGAAAACATAAAATAAAACAAAAACAAACAGAATAAAAACAAAAAAAAATGAAAAAATAAAAAAATAGAAAGTGATCTCAAACATTCGCTAAGGGTTTCTTTGGAATTAGTTTTTTATTTTTATTTTTCATTTAAATTAGTAAAAAAATTGTTTGTTCATTATTATCAAGTTAATTTTACATGTATTTTTATCTATTTTTAAAAACACTAAAATAATTTTTTTACTATTTTTAATTATCTCTTTTTTATCTAAAACCCAATGATATCACTCTAGGGCTCCTAGAAGGTGTTTGTGAAGGAGATTTAGGGTGGACGTGGTATTGGGATAACAAATGAATGAAAATATGAGAGATTGACGGTGTTCGAAAGTGGGTAAGTGTCATTTGACAACTGTCTTGGGTGAAAACAAAGAAAACTTACAAGAAGAGTGAGAGCAAGAAACAAAGAAGTGGAAAGCATCTCATGAGATGGAAGACGCAGAAGGAACTTACAAGTGGCTAAGATGCGAGAGGAGGAAGCATCATGCCCTAGCTGATAGATGAAGGGGGTCGACCCCGTTGTTTGTTGTGGACCCGCATTGTTGTTGGTGTGTTAAAGCCACTTGTAGGAGACAACATAATGTACGCAAGAAGTGGTGTAGTATGAAATACGTGTTCCATAAAGCTTGTCTGCGAGTAGAAGAACACGGAAGGAAGGAGAAGAATGTCACCATTCACGTCTATGGAAGATGATGTCGTGCCCTAATCAAAGGAAGAAGGAAGGCGAAGGTGAACGAGAAGGTAACGCCGGATGTGAGTAAGGGGAAACCGAGTGTCGCGTTTAGAAGAAGAGGAAGAATGCGAAGTTGACTCGCCGTGCGGGTTAAAGTTAGTTGAAGCAGCTCCGATGTGAAGGAAGAAGAAAAGAAGGGGGGGGGGGCGGGGGTAAGGAGAACCTGCATGCAAGTCAGAGGCAAATCAAAGCTTTTAATGAACATAAAGAAATTGTTGACTTCATAATACAAGGAATTGAGATAATATTAAGAGAAAGTAAAGTGATTGCTTATACAAAGGTCTTCAGAAGGTTATGGTTAGGAATTATATTTTTAAATTTTAACAATATTCATTATTTCTAAATGTATCCTTAATTTCATTTATAGGCTTTTTTAGTGAGATTTAGATTGTAACAGTTTCTTCAATTTTTAGATCGGAAAATATATATGTTAAATAATTGTATAATGAATTTCTTATAAAGTTATTAAATTATTGAATGAAATTTAAATTATATTAGATGTGCATAGATAGATTATTATGACATAGATTCCAGTGTATGTGCATATTTAAGTTGATTGCATGACCTATAGATTTAGTAATATTGCATTTATTAATTAGTAGATAGAGTTATGATGTTTTAATAAGAAAAGATTGTATGATATGAAAAATGAAACAATATATATATATGTATGTTTGTATATGTGCATGTTTAGAGAAGTTTACCTTTTTATAGAACAAACAGGGGATGCCATTGTAATATCCCAGACAATTATGATTCTTAGATCTCCAACCGCTATGTTGATTAGACAATATCAACCAAGGGCGACTAAGAATCCTTCCACCTTAGTTAATTGTATAAATTAGATCACGAACTATTGCACTGACTAGATAATATTAGCGAGTGTATTAGGTTATGTTTTGATGGTGCTCATAAGATAGATTTGAATGTTAATTGTGACGCTTAAAATTTGATAGTGAGGAAAAAGTTTGGTAATTTTTAAATGTACCTTAAATTTTGCATCTCTCGAAATTAAATTGAAATATTTTTATAAATTTCTATGCATGAAATTGATCAATTCGATGTAAAGCACTACATGTTTATTGTGATTGGATTTAGAGATAAAATTTGGAAGGAATTTATATTGAATTGAATTCTACCTTTAATTCTACTAACTTCAACCAACCAACCAACTCTAAAAAGCAAATCAAAAGTCTAAGAGCCACTTCAATCAACGAACTTGAATTCCACTAATAACATCCCTATCTATATCACCATCACTTTGAACAAAAGGCCCGAGATATCTAAAATATTCAAAGTTTTTTAATGATTTTTTGATCATCCATAGTGACAGCTCTACCACTAGAGCAACTATTACTAAAGTTACATTACATGTATTCAGTTTTAAATCTACTCAAACGAATGCTTTTATATTCCATTGTAGTCCTCCATACTTCCAGTTTTTCTTAAACTTTTTTTCTACTCTTTTATCCCAAGCAGCATATTGTCAACAAAAAACATACACTAAGGTACATTCTCATGTAAATGCCTAGTAAGAGCATCCATAACTATAGTAAAAAGATATGGGCTTAAAGCCGATCCCTCATGTAATCCAACTAAAATAGGAGAATACTTGGGCAATTCTTTTTTTGTTCAAACAAAAGTAACAATTCTACTTTACATATCAATACTTTTCTTCTCTAGAACTTTCCAAGAGACTTCGTAAACCTGAAATTCGTTAACCTTAAATATTTTCATGAATTCCTTGTTTATCTCATGATTTAACCATAAACATGATTTTCTTATCTTAAATGAGCTTCTCTTCATAACCAATCCTTTTTCGATAACTGCTATCCAATTTTCTCTTTTCTTCATTTCCCTTCAATCCTCCCGCAACTTGTGAAATGGGCCTAACAGAGAGTGTAACTCTTGGTTCGATAGTCTCGTGGCTGTTCTCCCGAAGCTACAGTAACAAGGAACACGTGGAAGTGCGTTAATATAACAAATATCAAAAAGGAAACATATGGAAGGTCATGAATATCTGGAATACCGTGAAAGGTGGTTTTCTACCTTTAGTTTTTTTCTCTGGAACCACGAATCACACTATTGAGCTTCTTGCGGGTCGCACTTGTCATGTGTGTTACAAGAATCAAGTGGAGCTTCATGCGGGAAGAAGAATTGGGACAAGTGAACGAGAAACGTGAAGCTTTCTTTGAATGTATTCACCCCCCTTCGTAAGCATCCTATGGTCGTAGTTGCGGAAGGTCATTGGCTACAATAATATGGGATTAGGAATTAATCAAATACTTAATTAAGTTTATAATTTAAACCACTAGGGTGCTGAAAAAGTGTGGGTCATCCCAATTTAGTCTTGCAAACTTTTATATCTTTGCATGCATTTATAGAATTTTATAAAATTATTTCGGTCGAATTTTGAGAAATGCTAAATTTGTGATATATTTTTAAATGACCAAAATTTTCACTTTGAATTGAAAAAATATCCATTTAATGTTAATCACATTTTCTTACATTGAATCTATTATCATAAGATACTGAGAAAAGTAAAAAATTCGTTAGGCTTGCTAAAGAAAGGTAGCAATCACTTCTAATCGGAGTTCGGTACCATCAACCAAAACTCTATACATGAATTCTTTTTCAGCTAACTTATACATCATTGATAAAGTTCGGCTCCATAGAGCTTAATTTCCCTGGTTTTTCTCCTAGATCATTGATTTTTTTAGTTGTAGAGTTTTCGAGTAGTTTAGGATTTGGTTCTTTTGTTGCATTGCCTTCATACTATCGTTTCTGAAATAGTTTCTTTAGAGGATATCAGAGATTTAATATTATCTTGTTTTTGGTGAAGACTAATATGAGTTAGCCTTTAATACCCAATTTTTTGCTTTTGCAGGTTAAAGTTGATTAATTTTAAATATACTTAATTTTTCATATCTCACGAAATGTGTCTAAAGTATTTTCATAAAATTATACATTTTTTAATGATCAATTTGATTTAAACACTATGTATAAATTATATATACATATATATATATATATATATATATATATATATTTTGAAAAAGCTTAAGGGCTGATATATTAAAGGTAAAGATACAGATAGATTTGTATAGGTGGGCCTAAACACCCAATCCACACGGTACAACACACCAAAAAATGTAAAAATGGGTACATATAGAAATAAAAAGAAACCCAA